TGTGGGAGCTCCGCGTGGGCTCAGGACCCCCCAGGCCCCTCCCAGCCCCCCCCAGCCCCCCCAGTCACCCAGCAGGTGTGTCCAGATGTTGCCGGTCTCGGTGTGGATGCGGAAGATGCTGCGGAAGCAGGCGCGGAAGGAGGGCATGGGGGGCCGGTGGCCGTGCAGGAGGTAATCGTTGTCCTTGAGCCAGTCGGGCAGCACGTCATAGGGGATCACCCGCCAGCGCCCCTCCCACACCTGCAACATCCCGGGAATGATCCTGGGAATGTCATAGGGGATCACCCGCCAGCGCCCCTCCCACACCTGCAACATCCCGGGAATGATCCTGGGAATGTCATAGGGGATCACCCCCCAGCGCCCCTCCCACACCTGCAACATCCCGGGAATGATCCTGGGAATGTCATAGGGGATCACCCGCCAGCGCCCCTCCCACACCTGCAACATCCCGGGAATGATCCTGGGAATGTCATAGGGGATCACCCCCCAGCGCCCCTCCCACACCTGCAACATCCTGGGAATGATCCTGGGAATGTCATAGGGGATCACCCGCCAGCGCCCCTCCCACACCTGCAACATCCTGGGAATGGCGCCGGAAAGGGCCTGGGGTCTCCAGGGACACTGAGCTGGGGGAACCAGCCCGGGAGTGCTGGGCAGCCAGAACTCTCCCAGAACTGAGAGCCCTGCCCGCAGCCCACCCCACAGCCTGCCCCACATCTGTCCCACAGCCCACCTCACAGCTTGCCCTACATCTGTCCCACATCTGTCCCACAGCCCGCCCCACAGCCCACCCCAAAACCCACCTCACAGCCTGCCCCACATCTGTCCCACACTCCACCCCACATCTGTCCTCACCTCCCTCCCCACAGAGCACAGGGAGTGATTCCTGGTCCCCCCAAGGACTGATTCCTAGGGAGTGTCTCCCCACCCCGCGCCCAGGGAGTGATTCCCAGTTCCCTTCAGGGAGTAATTCCTGGTCCTCCCACTGAGTGATTCCCAGCCCCCCCTGGGATTCAGGGACAGTTCCCACTCTCAGCTTTAACCCTTCCACACCCCCAGGTCCATTCCCTGCAGTGGGAATTCCCATTCCCAGGCTCTCCCTGGGCTGTGCTGGGGCCACTGGGATTGGGTGACTCCCAGTCCCATCCAGCTCCACAGGGACATTGGGATTGCTCCCAGTGCTCATCCAGCCTGGATCTCCCCCATCCCAACCATCCCCTTCCCACAGCATTCCCAGGGGATCTCTGGGAGCAGCCCAGCAGGGCTGGATCCCACTGTGCCCATGCAGAGCTTTATCCCAGCCCTGGGATTGGGGAATGTGCTCCAAATGCAGGGATGGGGGATCCCTGCGGATTCCAGTACCTTGTACACGAACTCTTCCATCTTTTCCATGGCATGGTGAGCCTGGAGGGGCAGGGTCAGCACCCGGACCACCTCCTCCTCCTCCTCCTCCCGCGCCGCCGTGCCCGGCGGCTCCTCAGCCTGCGGGGACAGGGAGTCACTCCCGGCCTTAGGAATCACTCCTGGCCTTGGGAATCACTCCTGCCTCCAGGAGGGAATCATTCCTCGCCTTGGGAATCATTCCTCCCTCCAGGAGAGAATCATTCCTGCCCCCAGAAACAAATCATTCCTGTCCCTGAGAAAAGAATTGTTCCTGCCCCTGGGAAAAGAATCATTCCTGTCCCTGGGAATCATTCCTGCTCCTGGGAGGAAACCATTCCTGCCACCGAGAGGGAATCATTCCTACCCCTGGAAAGGAACCATTCCGACCCTTGGGAAAAGAATCATTCCTGCCCCCAGGAGAGGAACAATTCCTGCCCCTGGGAGGGAATCATTCCTGCCCCTGGGAACCATTCCAGCTCCTGTGAGGGAATCATTCCAGCCTCTGGGAACTCCTGGGGTCCATCCTCCCACGAGGGTGAGGCAGGACCCGGGGTCACCCCCCACTTATGCAACTCCTGACCCATCCCGGGAGGGCTAATCCCAGATTCTTCTTGTCGGAAGGCGGGATTACCGCGGGATTTGCATACCTGCAACCAGCGCTGGATCGGCCGGGCCGGGAAATCCCACCCTGATCCCAGGAAACCCGACCGGGAAACCCGACCCTGCTCCCGGGAACCCCGATCGGGAATCCTGGCCCTGCCCAAGGAAACCCGACCCTCCCCCCGGGAATCTTGACCCTGCTCCTGGGAACACCGACCGGGAACCCCGACCGGGAACCCTGACCCCCCCGAGAATCCTGACCCTCCCCCCGGACCTGGGAACGCTTCGGGTCCTGCTCTCCTGCTGTGCTGGGAATGAGTTTAGGATGTGATTCCCAGCGCTGTGGGACTGCTGGGGCACTGGGATCACCCCGGGAACACCCAGCACAGACACAGGGATCCCGGTGCCACCCCTATCCCGGGATATCCCGGTGCCACCCCTATCCCGGGATATCCCGGTGCCATCCCATTCCATCCCTGCCCGGCTCTGAGCCGGGACCAGCCCAAAGAACGACCCGGACCCGCCCCGCCATCTGCCCGCGGGATACCGGTGCCTCCCGATCCCGGTGCCTCCCGATCCCGGTGACCCCCGATCCTGCTCCGATCCCGGTGATCCCGGTCCCGGCCACCCTCCGCCCGGGCTGCCCCGTCCCCTCGGGTCTCTCACACTGGCGGCTCCGGCGGCTCCTCGCTCCCCCTTCTCCTCCAGGAGCGGCCCCAGCTCGGCGAGCTCCAGGTGCGCCCGTTCCCGTTCCCGCTCCCGCTCCCGTCCAGCAGCCGCCGCCGCGCTGCCCGCGCCGGGCGGGGCCTTTCGGGACGCCATGGGCGCGGCGGCGGCTCCGCTGCGGCTCCGTGCGCGTCCTTCTGCCGCCGCTCTGGGGGGAGAGACACCGAGTTACGGCCTCGGGGCCGGGCCGTGCCCGGGGGAACTCCCGGCGCTCGGGGTCGCCCCGTCACCCCCGGAGCGCCCGGGCCCCCTCACCGGCCGCTACATCCCCGGAACGACGCTGTGAGGGGAAGGGGAACGCCCGCCCACAGCGCCGCACGCTGATTGGTTACACCTGCTGCCAGTCACTCCGTAGTCCCGCCCCTCTAGCGCTATGATTGGTCATTCCTACCGTCTCTCTCGCTGTGATCCCGCCCCCACGCGCTTTGATTGGTGGAGCCTCACAGCTGGCGGGGTAGAAGGAGGGGAGACGCTCTAGCCGCGCCGCACGGCTTTGTGGTTCTCGCGCTCGGCTGCCCCCTGGCGGCGAGGAGGGCGCGTTAGGCTGGCGGGGCCGTGGAAACTTGAACTCTTTAAAGATTTGATTTTTTACCGCTGAAAGTTTTAATTCTTTACCTCTTTTGGGGGAAATTTTAACTGTATAAAACATTTAAATTTTTTACCCATAAAATCTTTAATTTTTTAGTCTTTGTGGGCGAGTTCATGAAAATTTTAACTCTATAAAACATTTAAATGTTTATACCTAAAAGCTTTAAATTTTTACCCCTTGAGGGGGAAATTTTAAGTGTATAAATTACTCGATTTTTTTTGCCTCTAATTCCTCTCCTCTCCTCCAGCTCCACGGCTTTAAATTCCTCATCTTTCCCAAAATTCCTCGTCTTTCCTACTCCACACATTTAAATTCCTCCTCTTTCCCTCCCCACAGGTCTAAATTCCTTGTCTTTCCCAAAATTCCTGTCTTTCCCAAAATTCCTTCTCTTTCCCTCCCCACAGGTTTAAATTCCTCCTCACAGGTCTTTCTCAAAATTCCTTGTCTTTCCCACCCCACAGGTTTCAATTTCTTGTCTTTCCAATAATTCCTCATCTTTCCCACCCTACAGGTTTAAATTCTTCTTTCCCACCCCACAGGTTTCAATTCCTCGTCTTTCCCAAAATTCCTCATCTTTCCCAAAATTCCATCTTTCCCTCTCCACAGGTTTACGTTCCTCTTTTCCCACACTCAGATTTCAATTCCCCATCTTTCCCAAAATTCCTCCTCTTTCCCTCCCCTCCGATTTCAATTCCCCATTTTCCCAAATTCCCCTTTTTCCCCCGGGGTTCTCTCCCTCCCTTCCCGCTCCGCTGCCCCTCCCGGGCCCGCGGGATCCTCGGGATCCTTTTCCCATCAATCATTCAGCGCTGGAAGGGGATCCTCGGGGGTGCCGGGCTGGGGGGGACGGAGCGGGGGAGGGATTTTCCAGCCTTCCCGGGGTTCCGGAGGGGCCGGGAAAGGTTGGAGGGACCCGGGGCTGTGCCCAGAGGTGAGGGGGGCGGGGGGGACACGAGGGTGGAGGGGACACGGGATTTGGAGGGGACACGGGTTGGAGGGGACACGGGATTTGGAGGGGATATGGGATTTTTAGGGCACGCGGGGGTTGAAGGGGACACGGGTTGGAGGGGACACGGCAATTGGAGGGATGTGGGGTTTGGAGGAGGGAAGGTGGGGCTTGGAGGGGACACAAGGCTTGGAGGGGACATGGGGTTTGAAAGGAACACGGGGGTGGAGGGGACACGGGATTTGGAGGGGACACGGGGGTTGGGGTTCCTTGGGGTGCCCCAGGAGCTGTGGGGGGTGGGAGATGCTCTGGGGACTTTGGGAGGCTGTGTCCTCCTGTGTCCCCCCCATGTCCCCCTGTGTCCCCCGGGAGCTGGGGGGACCAGACAGGCCAGGGCTGAGTGGGAGGTGTTGAGGGGTGTGGAGGGTCAGGGGGTGTTGGGGGTGGCTGTGGGGTGTTTTGGAGTGGCTGGGGGGGGGTTGGGGGGCTGTGGGGTGTTGGGGTGTCTGTGGGTTGGTTTGGGGTGGCTGTTGGGGGTGGCTGTGGGGGGTTTTAGGGTGGCTGTGGGGGGTTTCAGGATGGCTGTGGGGTGTTAGGAGTGGCTGTTGGGGGTTTTGGGGTGGCTGTGGATGGTTGGGGGTGGCTGTGGATGGTTTGGGGTGGCTGTTGGGGGTGGCTGTGCCAGGACTGGCTGTGCCAGGGCTCTGCTTTCCCCCCCCAGGGACAGACGGGGCCGTGTCCCCCTCTGGGGTCCCCATGGATGTCCTGAGCTGCCTCAAGTACCTGATGTTCATCTTCAACGTGCTCGTGTTTGTGAGTCCTCCTGGGGCTGGGGGGATCCGTCCCCAAGGGGGGACAGCTCTGGCCAGCTCAGGGAGGGACACCAGTGCCAGGGCTGGGTTATCCCCTGTCCCCAGGGTGTGACATCTCTGGCCAACTCAGGGACAGGTGACACCAGCCAAAGGAAGGGGACCAAGGGCAGAACACCCCTCGACCCACGGGGGGACATCTCTGGCTCAGAGGGGGTGACACCATTCCCAGGATTGGAGCATCCCCGTTCCCACGGGGGGACATCTCCAGCTGGCTCGGGGGGGGGGACACCATGTCCCCCATTCCCAAGGGCTGACACCTCTGTCCAGCTCAGAGACAGGTGACACCAGTCCCAGGGCTGGAGCATCCCCATTCCCAGGGGGGGACATCTCTGGCTCGGGGGGGTGACACCAGTCCCCGGGCTGGGACAGGGCTCGGGTCGCTCGTCCCCGGGGCTGGGGTCGGTCCCCCCTGACTCCCCCTGTCCCGCAGGCCGGGGGGACGCTCCTGGCCGCCCTGGGGCTCTGGGTGGCCGCGGACCCGGGCGGGTTCCAGGCGCTCGTGGCCGCCCGGGCCGTGCTGGGCGCGGCCGCGTGGCTCCTGCTCGCCCTCGGCATCGCCCTGGCCCTGCTCGGCTGCCTCGGCTGCTGCGGGGCCCTGCGGAGGAGCCGCCCCCTCCTGCTGCTGGTGAGGGGACGTGGCGGGGAGGGGACACGGGAGGAGAGGGGGTCTGGGGGGCGGTGGAATGTGATGGGGGGCTGGGATGTGGGGAGGGGCTGCGGGGCTGGGGAGGGGGTGTGAGGAGGGGTGGGGAGGGACTGTGGGGTTCAGGAGCTTGGGGGATGCAGGAGACGGGATGGAGGGTTGGGGGATGGAGGGTTGGGGATGGAGGGATTGGGGTGCAGGAGGGTGCTGGGGGATCCAGGTGTCCCTGCAGGAGCCAGAAGCTGCTGTTCCTCCCCCTCCACACCCCCCACAACCCTCCCCCCTCTCCAGTCAGAGCGTAGAGGATTCCCAAACCCACCAAGTGGGTCCCTTCTCTCTGAAGCCCTGGCTTGTCCCTCATGGCATTCCCAGGCCATTCCCACACATGCTGAGGGGCAGAACCCCCTTTCTGAGCACCCTCACTCCAATTCCTGCAGCACCCCCAGCCCCTGGTACCCAGGGCTTGTTTCCCCCCCCACACGTTGGTAGTGTCCCCTGTCCCCCCCCGGGCAGGGGCACAGGGCACGGGAGGGCAGGGACAGCCCGAGGGAGCTGCCCAGGGCTGGGGGGTCTCTGACTCTCCACCCGCCCCCCCAGTTCTTCATCCTCGTCAGCCTCGTCTTCCTCATGCAGCTGGTGGGGGCCATTCTCTTCCTGGTGCACTGGAAGCAGGTACTGTCCCCACATCCTGGCACTGTCCCCATGCCCTGGCATTGTCCCCACACCCTGGCACTGTCCCCAGTGCCACCAGCCTCCCTCTGTCCCCCCAGGGCTCCCCCAGGGGACAGGGACAGGTGCAGGGTCCTTCCTCCCTTCCCTTCGCCCCCAGCCCAGGGCCGTGTCGGGGGGTCCCACGGGTGGGTGGGTGGGGAGCGGCCCCACCCCCGGCACCGATCCCACAGGTCCGGCCCGAGCGCTTCCTGTCGGAGCTGAGGAGGAACTACCGCGGGGACGAGGGTGCTGAGGTGTTCAGCACCGCCTGGAACACCCTCATGGTCACGGTGAGCACCCGGGGGGCTCCTGGGGCACCCCTGGAACACCCTCATGGTCACGGTGAGCACCCGGGGGGCTCCTGGGACACCCCTGGAACACCCTCATGGTCACAGTGAGCGCCCGGGGGGCTCCTGGGGCACCCCTGGAACACCCTCATGGTCACGGTGAGCACCCGGGGGGCTCCTGGGGTACCCCTGGAACACCCTCATGGTCACGGTGAGCACCCGGGGGGCTCCTGGGGTACCCCTGGAACACCCTCATGGTCACAGTGAGCGCCCGGAGGGCTCCTGGGGCACCCCTGGAACACCTCCATGGGCATGGTAAGTGCCCGGGGGGCTCCCTGTCCACCCCCTGGACCACCCTGATGGTCCCAGTGAGCCCCGGGAGGCTCCTGCTGTGCTGGGGGGGTGTGGAGCACCCACAGGACCTGCCCAGGGTGCCCCAAAAGTGGGTGAGGGGCTCAGGAACCCCAGCCACGACCCCCAGGCTGGGCTGTCCCCCCTCCCTTGGTCACTCCCCACGTTGTCATCCCATTGATGGTGTTTGTTCCCCCTGTTGTCATCCCATTGACGGTATTCCCTCTGTTGTCACCCCCTTGATGGTGTCCCCTCCCGTCCCAGTTCTCCTGCTGTGGCGTCCTGGGCCCCGAGGACTTTGGGAATGGCTCCCGATTCCAGGAGCTGCACCCGGGGGTGCCGTGGCCGCGGGCCTGCTGTGCCCGGGACGGGCTCCTGGGGGACCTGCTGGGCTGGGAGCAGTGCCAGGACAGGAGCCCTGGCTACATCCATGAGCAGGTGGGACACCCCCACCCCCCCCCGTCGTGGGCTGTGTCCCTGTGCCACCCCTCCCAGCCCCGGGGGCACTGCCCATCCATGGCTCTGCATCCCAGTGTCCTCCCGAGCCCCCCCTGAGCCCCCCAGTACCCCCGAGCCCCCCCAGCCTCTCGGTGCCCCCAGGGCTGCTTCTCCACCTTCGGCAGGACCCTGCAGAGGTCCCTGTCCCTGCCCGGCTCCTGCAGCCTGGCCGTGCTGGGCATCGAGGTGAGCGCAGGGCTGGGGAGGGGGGAGCTCAGGTGCGGCTGGGGAGGGGGCTGTGTGCCAGGGGGGCCACAGGGGGGCTGGGGAGGGGTCCGTGTGCCACGGGGGGGCTGGGAAGGGGGCTCTGCCGGGGGCACTGTCCGTGTGCCAGGGGGGCCTGGGGAGGGGTGTGTGTTTTCTGCCCTCAGGCCCTGGTTTGGGGGTCTTGCAGCCCCCTTGAGCAGCCCCAGCACCGCTGGCACGGACCCTGCAGGGCCCAGGCCCGGAGAGGGACCCCCAGGGCAGCCCTGCTGGGGTCTCACCTGCCGCCCCCTCCCTCCCCCCAGACCTTTGCCATGTTCTTCTCCCTCTGCCTCTACTACAACTTCGACTGACGGGACACGGACACGCTGGGAGCTCAGGAGCAGTCAGGGACAGGCCTGTCCTGGCTGGGAAGAGCTCTGAGCCCTTCCCAGCCTCTGGAAGCTCAGGAGCAGCCAAGGACAAGCCTGTCCTGGCTGGGAAGAGCTCTGCTCCAGCCCCGAGCCCTTCCCAGCCTCGCCCAGTCCTGTCCCTGCTCCAGGGATGGGCCTGGTTTGGGCTTTTCTGGTTGCAGGGACAGGAGGGGGGAAATTCCCTGCAGGGATCTGCCATCAGCCCTCCCCCCTCTGGATCCCCCCCCACTCATCCCAATGCTCTCATGCTCCTCACCCTGACATCCTGCTCTCTCCTCCACATCCACCCATTCCCAGACCCCCAGGAATCCTCTGGATTCTCCTCCTCCCCCTGGGCCAGGGCTTGTCCCTGGTGACACCTCCTGGGGTGTCACCCACCATAGAGCAGAGTCACCATCCAGGTCACCCCAAATGGCCCCAACTGGAGCCCAAGGGCTGCTCCAGAGAGCTGGAATTGCAAGGCTGGCGTCATTAAACTTCCATGGAAAACCGAGCCTTCCCCAGGGAAGGATTCCCACCAGCTGGTTTGGATCCAGCTCCTGCTTTCAGGTTGGAAACAGGAACTGAACTCCCTGGTGCTGTTCCCGTGTCTCTGAAAGCTGGGAAGGGGAAGAGGTGTTTCCAGTTTTCTTTGGAACATCCCAAAAACTCCACCCAACAAAAGGGGAAAACATATAAATTAAAGCTTCATATTTTATTAATACAATGAAAAGTTTTCACAAAAAGAAAACCTCAAACAAACACGGAAACAGCAAAACCCAAACTGCTGCAGCCCTTTACAGGCAGGACACCTCATACCTGAGGAAGGGAACAGGGACAATCCCAAGGGAACAAGACCCCCTCAGGAATCAGGAATCTGGGCAGGATTTCTTCTCCTTCCTGCTGATGTTGCTCCCTTTCCTCTTCTGCCCAGAGGACTCACTGCTGGGGCTCCTTTCCCCCTGGGTGCTTTTCTCTTCCAAAGGCTCGGGAGCCTGTGATGACCCAAGCAATAAAAGCAGAGAGCTGTGAATAATTGGATTTTCCAGCCCTTGGAATGTCCTGTGCTTCACCAAGTTTGTTATTCTGGGATTTGTAGGAAGAGGGATGGCAGGGGAGCAGGATAACGATGGAGCACAGCACTGCCATGATGCTCCAGGGATCTCTTCATCCCATGCCCTTCCAACCACCACAGTTCCCTTGGGAATGGGCTCAGGGCTGGAATGCTGAGCACAGCTCCCAGGATTCCCACAGGGAAGACACCCCCCTCCCACAAAGGGTGTTCTCCAAATCGGGGGCAGAGAGGGAAAGGCCCCTCAGGTGAGGGAAGGCCCAGAGGGAAGTGATTTTTGGGAAGGTTTGGATCTGCTGGAGTGGGATTTATTTTTTCAAGTGAGGGTGAGAGAAAGAGGGAAGAGGAGGAGGGAGGAAGGCTGCATTCCCAAGGGAATATTGAGTGGAAGAGCAGGTGGAAAAGAGCTGCAGGACACAGAGCAGAGTTGAGGAAGAAGAGGATCCCCAGGGAATGGTTTTTGTCCATCCCTCCCCCTCCTCATTAGTGAGGGAGCACATTTAATTGGGAAGGGAGAATGTAATGAGCTTAACGAAGAGCATCATGAAATTAATGAAATGAATGAAAGAATAATGGAATTAAACACAGAGGCAAAGCCCACGAGAGGCAGAGCAGCAGGGGAGGCCAGAGCCAGACCCACAGGATCAGTTCTGGGAGGGAAATGGGGCAGGAGGGGCTGGGCCTCACCCTGCCCTGCCCCGCGTGTCTCTCCGTCCACTCCCGGGCCCGGAGCAGGAACAGCTGCTTGTTGTATTTGTACTCTGAGGACTGAAGGGGAAGAGCAAGACAAAGCCAGGCTTAACACAGCACATCAAGAAGCTGGGACTTAGGCCTGGCTTTAGGGCTCCTAAGCCAAGCCCAAACCCAAGGCACCAGATCCCTTGGGTTTGCCTGAAGAACTCGAGCTGCCGTTTTGCCCCGAAGGCAAAGCCTGAAGGTGAGACCTTGGCCAGCTCCTGTGGTCACCTGATCCACTGCCAGGGTGGTCATCCAAAGCTCAGCCTAAAACCCTCCCTGCCCTGCCCATGGGGAGGACTCACGATGTCAGCCATGAGAGGGTCATCGGGGTTGGGCTCTGCCATCAGCAGTTGGATGGAGCTCAGCAGGGTGGAGATGCTCAGCGAGGGCCTCCAGGCACCCTGCGGGGAGAGGAGCCTGGCCTGAGCCCTCAGCACCCTCAGCACCCATGGGAACACTACCCCAATCCTGAGTACCTCAGCACCCACGGGAAACACCACCCCAACCCTGAGCACCCCAGCACCCACAGAAACACCTCCCCAGTCCTGAGCCCTCAGCACCCACAGAAACACCTCCCCAATCCTGAGCCCTCAGCACCCACAGAAACACCTCCCCAATCCTGAGCACCTCAGCACCCACAGAAACACCTCCCCAATCCTGAGCACCTCAGCACCCACGGGAAACACCACTCCAATCCCAACTCCTGGCTCCAGGGAAGCCCAGCAGGGCAGTGGGAACCACCTCGAAGCTGCCAGAGCTCAAGGATCGGGGGGATTGTTGGGATTGTCCCCTGCAAGTTCAGCCCATGACGATCCCTGCAGGTCCCTCCCAGCTCAGGAGATGCCATGGGCTGGATCCTGCACACGTCTCGTCTCCAGCCCTAACTCCCTTTGGCTCCCAGCCCTGAAACCTTGGAAACTCCTCGGGAACAAAGGCTGTCCTCCAGCCCTGGCAGGACACCAAGGAGAGGCCGTTTCCAGCCGCCCTCCCCGCGGGTGTAAATAAATCAGGAGCACAGGACATTCAATCGGCTCCCAGGGAGCAGGGAAGGAGCTCAGGGCCCGGCCCTGCCTCACCTTGGGGGGTAACTTGAGCACATCCAGGCAAATCCTGCCTGCAGAGTCGATGTTGGGGTGATAGATGGGGGTCAGGAAGCGGATTTTGGGGGGCTCAAAGGGGTACCTGGGGGAGGAGAGTTAAGGAACAAGGAATTGTTGTCATGTCTCCGGTGGTTTCACCACCTTCATTCCCTCCTGGTTCATTGAACACCCTTCCCCACGGATCGCTGGAGCCTTTGCTGCTTCCACCACTTTCCTGGACAGCCTCCTACAAGGGAAGCTTTGTCCTGATGAACAAGCTCTTCCCACAAAGCTCTGCGATGGCAGAAGTCTGATCATGGCACTTTTTGGGGGTTAATCGACACATCTGGGATGTTCAAGGTGAAATAAGTGTGTCAGTCACTGGAGAAACACTGACATTCCTTGAAAAAAGGGGCTCAATTCCATTCCTTGTTAGCAGGATAAAGGGAAGCAGCAAGTTAAGCAGCTCACTCGTATTTGAGAGCAGCACTCAATCAGACAATTCCAGACTGGGTTGGGTTGGAGGGACCTTCAATCCCATCCCATCCCATCCCATCCCAGCCCAGCCCAGCCCTGCCACAGGCAGGGACACCTCCCACCATCCCAGGCTGCTCCAGCCCAGCCTTGGACACTTCCAGGGATGGGGCAGCCACAGCTTCTCTGGGAATTCCATCCCAGCCCCTCCTCACCCTCCCAGGGAAGGATTTCATCCCAATTAATCCAAGCTAGATGTTGCTGCCCATTTACCTCTCAGGAACGATGATTTCCAGGTTGAATATTCCCTTCTCATAGGGTGTGTCTGCACCTCCTAGGATTTCTTCAGGAGCAAGATGAAAACAGAAAGGTTACATTCCAAACCCTTTGGATTTGTCCAGCAGCCTCCAGGGAGCTCCCAGAGCTGCAGAAGTGCTCAGATCATGGAATCCTGGAATGGTTTGACTTGGAGGGACCTCAAAGCCTACCCAGTCCCACCCTGCCCTGGGCAGGGACACCTCCCACTATCCCAGGCTGCTCCAATCTGGTCTTGGACACTTCCAAGGATGGGGCATCCTCTGAGAAATCCATTCCAGGGCCTCCCCACCCTCCCAGCCAGGAATTCCTTCCCAATATCCCATCCATCCCTGCCCTCTGGCAGTGGGAAGCCATTCCCTGTGTCCTGTCCCTCCATCCCTTGTCCCCAGTCCCTCTCCAGCTCTCCTGGAGCCCCTTTAGGCCCTGGAAGGGGCTCCAAGGTATCCCTGGAGCCTTCTCTTCTCCAGGGGAACATTCCCAGCTCTCCCAGCCTGGCTCCAGAATCCTGGAATGGTTTGGGTTGGAGGGACCTTGAAGCTCATCCCATTCCACCTCTGCCCTGGGCAGGGACACCTCCCACTATCCCAGGTTGCTCCAACCTGGATTTGGACACTTCCAGGGATGGGGTATCCTCTGGGAATTCCATTCCAGGGCCTCCCCACTCTCCAAGGGAGGAAGCCAGGAATAAAAAGTGTCATTTGGGCTGAGAGCAGTTCCACCCCTCAGCGATGAAAACTGAGGGTAGGGTAGCCAAGGTAAGTTTTAAAAAAATCCCAATAATAAAAATAAATAAAAATGAAATAAATAAACCCCAAAGAAATAAAAACAAAATAAAAAAAAATAAAATAAAAATAATAAAATAAAATCAATAAAAACCAGATAAATAAAATAAAATCAATAAAAACCAGATAAATAAAATAAAATCAATAAAAACCAGATAAATAAAATAAAATCAATAAAAACCAGATAAATAAAATAAAATCAATAAAAACCAGATAAATAAAATAAAATCAATAAAAACCAGATAAATAAAATAAAATCAATAAAAACCAGATAAATAAAATAAAATCAATAAAAACCAGATAAATAAAATAAAATCAATAAAAACCAGATAAATAAAATAAAATCAATAAAAACCAGATAAATAAAATAAAATCAATAAATAACCAGATAATAAAAATAAAATCAATAAAACCAATAAATAAAATAAAATCAATAAAAACAAATAAATAAAAAAAAAAATTAAAATAAAAAAATCTAAAATCACGCAGTTAAAATCACGCCAGTTAAA